TTACTACAATATAATCTAGAACAGATATTCATTACTTTTACATGGCTTCTTTATCTTGTGTCTCAAAGCACAAATACTTCCAACAACTGGATGACTCAAAGCTTGTATCAACATTAATTGCCATGACCTCACAAGATCATATGGAGTTGAACACAACCCACAAGTAAAAAAAATTGAAGACAGTTGTCATAATGCAGAAATATTTAGCTAACTACAAAAAACAACGTTTTGACCACAGAAAAACATGCATGTCATGTCTACTTCAACAGTGTTTGCTTGCTTTGTCAGTATTGTGCTGTAGCACAACTTGCATGTGTTCTGTGGTTTACCGTTTTAATTTGGCACAAGGCCAAAGTATTTCCAGACGCCACCCTGGTTGCACTCTATCAATTAAGCATAGTAGTGAAAGCTATGATACTTCTGGATTAGTCATTTTAACACCCAATGTGTGAGACTGCACTCAGGTCTAGCCATGCGCTTTGATAGCCTATGAACTTCAGTGGTCAGCGCAAATTGGAAGTGTATGGATACCATGAAAGATGAGTATTGAACCCATTCTATACATGACAGAATGGATACTTTCGGTACTTTCGATACTTTCAACAACACTAATGCCTGATAAGGCCCGATATAACATTCATAGAAGACAAAAGTTTGTCAAAAAACCAGCTTTGAGACATAAGAAAACAGGATATCATAACCTTGGTGGATGAGTTGCCTGGCAGCAGCCCTGAGTGTGTGTGAGCTGGGTTGGTTTGTGCTCTCTGCTGGGCCAAAGGGGAACAGTGGTCTGCTGTGTGCAGTCTATCCCTGTGGGCAGCACTAAGGTCAATGCTGGGCCAGTTCCCTGCCCCCAAAAAAGGAACCAGGATGTTTCTTAATTATGGCCACTTCCTGAAAGAGAGAACGGGACTCTTCCCGAGCCTGCCCCCCTTCCTTCTTCAAAATCCACAGAGCATTCCTTGAAGTGTTTTTTGCATGAAATTAAGCTTGTTTTTTGCACGAAATTAAGCTTGTTTCATAACAGGCCATGCTGTACCAGTGTTTTCAAACACTGTCACTGGCGACACTAACTGTTCATCGAAAAGAAACAAAAAAAAAATTAAGACAAAATCTCAATTATCATGGGGGTTCCCCCTCCAGGGAGTGAGGTGGTGGTTGGCACTGACAAATGGATTAATCATTAGAATGAATGGGTCAACCCATTTCACAGAAACTGCGAGGAACTGCCCTGAAGGAAACGTGGGGGAACAAAACTGCTGCAGGGGTAACTCCTTGCCAACAAATATCTAAATAAATGAAAGGAGTTAGATGGTTTAAGTGAGCTATAATTAGCCTGTCGGAGAGCTTCCAAGTTTCAGAGAAACAGAATCCACACTTGTAGCCTGCATGGTTGGGAATTCCTTTGTGGTGAGGTCCACGTTGAATTCAGACACAATGGCGTACTGCCCTACCCCCCCAGGTGAGAGTGATGTGAGGTCAGGCCATTTGTCTGGTGTCCCTGGAGCATTTGGGGGTAAGGGGGAAGGATACAGGTCCTACTCAAAGGCACAACAATGATGTAACTATTCTGCCGAGGCTCAAATTGGTGACCTTCTGATCACAGGCACAGAGGCTCACCCCACAGCTGCAAAGTGCCCCACAACCAGAAATTATGCAGTCAAGATTTTAAAATTTGGGGAATTTGCAGGGGTGAGCACGACCGCAGTGCCTTTCCCTGGAAGAACCACCTCTGAGTATCTCCCCCGCCAGGCACAGGTGAGGGAAGGGGAAACGCCAGCTCTCCCCTAACATTACACTCTCACAGACCAGCTCTCCCCTAACATTACACTCTCACAGACCAGCGGCATGAGGGGACATCTAGTCCCTATATTTACATTCAGGTCATACTCAGCAATGTATGCACTCTGCCATACAGCAAATCCGAGGAGGACATGGCCGCACCGGCTTGGTTGGGGCTGCTTTTAAACTTCTACTGAAACAGTCTGTCATGCCTCGCTTTAATATTTTACTGGCAAGCCACACATTCAGACAAGGATGTGTGGCAGCTAAGGTGCATTGACAAACCAGCTTGCTACCCCCAGGTGAAAACACCCCCACCCCAAGTGGGACAGGCTGAACTGAAACTTGTCTGCGTACCATATGGTGTACTCAGGCCAGGCACTGTAGGCATGTGAGCATCTGACCCTATTAATCAAATGATGCACGTGTGCGCTGACCCTAGGCATCTGCCAGGCTGAACGTCTGTCTCCCGTCTGTGAGCCCAGAGACTGCCCACCCCCACAGCAAGCCCTGTGCCTACGTTCCTGTCTGCATTTCACTGATGCATAGGCTGCATGTATTCTGACAGGAACAGCAAGACCGAGATGACAGCCCTTTTTGCCACAAGTACCCAAAACTGCAAAGTCAACAGAAAGAGAGAAATAAGATTACTTCTGCAAATAATTCCTGTATGTACTGAAGTGGGAGCCAACACAGCCTAAAGCAGCTGAAAAAAAGGGATGCACAGACAGGTGAAGGGTCAGGAGACCCTTGAAAGACTGACCGGGAACTTCCACCCTGAAATAACTACAGTGATGAAATAAGTAATGATCAAAGTTCAAAACAAGTGCTTTTGAGTGACAGTACCATCCAAGCCCTGAGGAAGGAGAGGTGGGCGATAAATCGATTTTATCGATTAATTTGAAATTTACAGTTCAGGACGATGTGTTTTTATAAAAATCGATTTTATTACTTATTTTACACGCGAGCGCCAAAAGCGGAACTAATGCGACGCACCATTCATTGTTCATGGGTAAATTAGCGCGGCGCACCCAAATACTCTAGCGGATTCAGAAACAACACGGCAATGGTTCGGTTTTGCGCCGTCGGACACAGACAAAACAAGTCCTCGTTGCAAAGTCTGTTTAAAAACTGTTGCAACCAAAGGATGCAGCATGACAATTTTTTCCCATCACGTAAACGAGAGGCACACAGCAGAGTGGGAGAAGTGCAGCTCCCAGCGAAATGAAAATACCTGCAGCACCAGCACAACATCCAAAGTTAAGCAAGCAACCGTCCCTGGCACGTTTTCGAACTGTGTGCCATATGGTAAGAATGGGGCACGGTGGAAGGCGAT